CGGGTTAAGAACTTAATTCATTCTGGAGGTCCTTTCTTAACCTGAAACTGTTCTTAACCTGAGGTACCACTTTAGCTAATGGGGCCTCCCACTGCCACCACCGCGCGATTTCTGTTCTCATCCTGAACCAAAGTTCTTAACCTGGGGTACTATTTCTGGGTTAGCGGAGCCTGTAAGCTGAAGCATCTGTAACCCGAGGTACCACTGTACTCTATTCCGAACTTACAAATGGAAAGCGTAATGCTGGTGGTCAACAAAAGAGCTTTAAAGACTCTCTCAAGGCAAATCTTTTTTTTTTTTTTAAAGTAGCCTAAAACACATTACATATTATCTGGTACACTTCTTTTCCTCAGGGTATACGCAGGGCTTTTATTTCCACTGGAACTCACCAGAACTCAGTTCTGGCACCTCTCAGGTGGGCACCATCGCCATTCTAAGAGAAACAAGGGAGGTGTCTATGGTGAGTTCCTTTTCTAGAAAAATAGCACTGGTATATATGCCATAACAAAACATCCCTCAGCAATAAGTGGTACAGTAAGGGAGAATATGACTAGATGACCCTTCCAACTCCACAATGTCTATGATCCTTGCAGGTAGATGGATTTTTCACCGTTTTGCTCAAGCAAACCTTGCTGATTGAGTGGACATAGTAACTGAAGGCATCAGCCTGGAACCTGTCTATGACCTCCAAGAACTGAATCCAGGCCTGTTGTCAAATATTGCATGGCAGTCTTTCTCCAGGGGGTCCGGTACATGCATAAATTTATCAGTGCAGTATGCCTTACGACTGCCCTCAGATTTCTGTACCCTGATAAACGGAAGGCAAGAGTCTGTGAAGGTGAAGCAGCTCACTGGACACTGAAAACAGGGCACACTGTTGATGCTGGAAGGATTCTTTGAAACCGGAGTGGTGGGGATGGGGTTTGATAACTATGGGTTTTCACAATTTTTACTGTTCTCATTCTGGTTTTTCGTTTCAAACATTTCCATAAAAGCACTTAAGCGTTTCAAAATACTTTATTTCCATTCCGATTATTTCACTTTGCTTCAGTTCCAAGTTAGCAGGACCAGATTTTAACACACAGGATTCTTAGGTATCTTAACATGCCAAAAACAGTGGAAATTATTTCCCTTTGATAAGGAATGTCCTGCTGTGACTTCCTCACCATATCTATTGATACAATATTTTTGCTTTGCCTACTGTTAGTTAGATACCTACATTAAAACTGCTTCAGCTATTCACTTTTTTGACTGCATGCTAGTGCAATTGTTTTATTGTGTACAAATTGTATGGTTTTACTATGCATTAACTGCATTTTTAGTGACTTTGAAGATCAATATTGTTTTTGAACTGGTTTCTTATGGTATTAATATACTATAATATTTATCTCAGGGCAGCTTTGTTGTTAACTGAGATAAATTCTTATTGTTGAAGGGAATGTTTATGAATGCATTTCTATAGAATTAACAGATCCATTGTATTATTGAAATATTGAATCTGGGTTTTTCCTAACTTGTTTTGTATTTTGATGTATTGTTATAATTATTATCATACAGATATGTTGTATTAATTAGGGGGAGGGTTATTTTGTTTATTTGTCTGCTTTTTGACAACCAATTTTCTGCAGGAATGAAAAACTGGTTATAAGCAATAATAGCTGACATGTGTCTTAATCTTTTTTTTAAGTTTACTATTGATTGTAATTATATTCTGAAGATTTTTTAAATGCCTGTTTTTGAGCTATTTTTATTGATAACTCTAATGGCTTAAAAAGAAGAAGAAGAAGAGTTTGGATTTGATATCCCGCTATATCACTACCCGAAGGAGTCTCAAAGCGGCTAACATTCTCCTTTCCCTTCCTCCCCCACAACAAACACTCTGTGAGGTGAGTGGGGCTGAGAGACTTCAGAGAAGTGTGACTGGCCCAAGGTCACCCAGGAGCTGCATGTGGAGGAGCGGAGACGCGAACCCGGTTCCCCAGATTATGAGACTACCGCTCTTAACCACTACACCACACTGGCTTAGAGGTTCTATTATAACCAAGTGATATATAACTTTTGTAAAATAAAATAAGCCAAATGATAGAGAATTCTGAATAGCATAAAAAATTGTTTCTTATCTTCTCACTATGCAGAGTTGGTCAGTGGAACATTACTGGGGATGCTGTTTTCATTTTCATGAATCACATCACTTCAATAGCTTTAAAAACTTAATTTCATGGTTTGGGGAGAAGATATTTATTCTGAGGAGACCAAATTGGGGGCACATCCACACCATATATTTAAAGCACAACCAGCATACATTTAAAGCACATGACCTCCCCTCAAAATTCTGGGACCGAAGTTTATTAAGGTTGCTAGGAATTGTAGCTCTGTGGGAGGGAAACAACAGTTTCTTATGACCTTTCTTTCTTATGTTTGCTTTCTGGGCATATTCTGTGGACTCTAGAGGTGAAACAAAACCTTACAAATTCCAAACCTGACCACCTGTTATGAGTAAAGGGGGCATAATTAAACCAGAAATGAAGAGAACACATTTTCTTCCAAAACGGGAGCCAGACACCTGCACGCTCTCCCTTCAGATCAGCATTTGTCTTGCCTGATACTTACTCCTGTCTAATCCTGATGTTGAGAGAGTTTGGCCTTGAGAGACACACTCAAAAGCAGACTGGGTGTGGATCAATAAGACCTGAGTCATAAGTACCTGAGTGTTGAACTTTGGACTGAGCTAGGTGTTTGTCTGATTGCCAGAATGGTGGTGGGTTCATGGGCTTTTGTGGCAGTCAATACTATGTATGTCTATTTGTCCTTGAATTCTGATACAGTAAATGTTTCTCCACTAAGTTTCAGAGTTCTCCAACATTGCTGAGCTTTCTCGGTCATTGGAACAGTCATTCAAAAGAACACAAGATAAGGCTCCTCACCAGCAAACTTTCTGCCTTTCATGTGTGCACATGGGGTCTGTTGATATTATTAAGTGTTACATACTGTACACACAAAAGAGAAGAGAATAAAACATGGCAACTGTTGCCATAGCAATTGGCAACAGATGCCAAAATCTTGCTACCAGAAGTTGTTAATAGGACAGGTGATTTTTAAAAAAATGACTCACTGCTGTTATTTAAGTAGAAGGCTAACATTTTACCCCTTGTTTCCACTCACTATGAAGCAATAAGCAAATCTGGGATAGATGTGAGGAGAGGAAGCCAGCAAAGGCAGAAATGTACCTCATGTTCCATCTCCTGAAAAAGAAATTGCCAACTTTTTAAGGCCCATGAGCACATTTGGATTTTGAGTGAGGGCTGTAGGCACCATCACTTCTGGTCATTTTTCTCTTCTCTCCCCCCCCCCTTTCCTCAAATCAACCCCAACCCCAAAGAAACAGAACACATGCACACACACTTCACTTTTCTAAGGGTAAGATTTATATACAATAGAATTAATATGAGCCTTAAAAAGTACATAGAGCTGAAAGATGAAGGGGGAAGCAGGGGCAGCAGCTGGCAGGCTGAGAGACCTTGGCCCCCCTAAATTTTCAATACCCTGTGGTGATGTGTGCATGACGCATGGCATGCATGCGTTACGTGAGCACATTGCTACTTCTTCTTTGGCGATCACTTGGAGCCGAGTAAGATTGTCTTCCATAAACACGGTTTTAACAATGAGTCCATAAGTGACTGTGGAGGCCAATTCTGGATCCAAACGTCCTTCTACAGTGGGGACCTTGGTTTCCAGGTGGAGTTGATCACGGTGTGGATTTGCCAAGCGTGCCTTCCTCTTAGCACGTTTCTCCCTTGCGTCCTGAGTTGGAGTGTCTTCAAAGCCCATGACACCTTTGGTAAAGGCTGTTCCCCAATTCGAGTGCTTGCAAGCAAGTGTTTCCAAGTTGTTGGTGTTTATGCTACATTTTTTTATATTTGCCTTGAGATGGTCTTTAATCCTCTTTTGTTGACCACCAGCATTATGCTGTTAAGTTCAGAATAGGGTAGCTGCTCCCTGGCCTCCTCAATAGTGGTGGCAAGCCGGTACACCTGGTTGGAAGTGCGTTATTCTTCTGACTTCTTCCTTCAGTTCTATATATTTTCTCTAAAGGGATAAAATAGTGACCACTTTCACCAGATCATGATTAAGGGCATCCTGAGTTGAGGGAGCTCAGAGGCTTCATAGACATTTGAGGAAAGCCTCAAAGGTACCGTGCACCCATAGGTGCCATATTGGGGTGCTCTCTTATAAAGATTCAGCTAGGATAGAATCCTCAAATTCATTTTTGATGTTGTATAGATTTTATTTCAGTATCATTAAATGTGCATTTTTTCCATTGATTATTTTAATAAAAAGTTATATATATTCATTCTCTTTCTGAGAAAGAAGGGAGTTTCTTAAAGGTCAAGGCACAATTGCAAACAATTCCAACAAGAAAGAAAAGTGAGAGGCATCTGCAGAAACTAGTGTGGTTGCACAAGGAGCTTACAGTGGTACCTCAGGTTAAGAACTTAATTCATTCCGGAGGTCCGTTCTTAACCTGAAACTTTTCTTAACCTGAAGCACCACTTTAGCTAATGGGGCCTCCTGCTGCTGCCACGCCGCCAGAGCATGATTTCTGTTCTCATCCTGAAGCAAAGTTCTTAACCCGAGGTACTATTTCTAGATTAGTGGAGTCTGTAACCTGAAGCGTCTGTAACCCGAGGTACCACTGTACAGATGAACTGAGATTTAAAGGGGGCATGCATAAGAAATGGAAGAAAGGGCAATTCATGAAGGAAGAGTATATATGAGTAGCCAACACCTGCAGGGGGAAGCTGAGGTGGGCTACAGCTCAGAACAAGCTCAGGCTTGCAAGAGAAGTTAAATAATAACAAAAGGGTTTTTTTAGTTGTTTTCAAAGCAAGAGGAAGAACAAGCAAGTTTTAGGTCCTCTGCATGGAGAAGACAGAGAAATGCTCTTGGGTGACAGAGAGAAGGCGGAGCCGCTCAATGTCTACTTTGTCTCTAATATCCATAGGAAGAAGCCTAGATGAGCTGTTGGACAAGAAGATGCACACATTTCAGCTTTCAACATGCTGCCTTGTACATAAACCAGGTGGGACTGAGGACCAAGGAATGATGTACAGGAAGCCACATTCCTTCCTTTGCTTCAAGAGGCAGACAAGATTTCATAATAGTACAGATCTTCACCACAACACAAGTGCATTATCACATTGGTATTTACCACATCAGGGAGCTTGTTATTTCCCACGCTTTCCCTTTGACATAAGTACTTACTGTCACCCTGGAAAGCGCGGATGGCATCCCCCTGCCTTTTCTTTTACTGAACTCCACTGTTCCATTGTTAATATTTCACATCAGGTTATCTACATTGCAAATGTCTCGCTTAGCTTCTTTTATTGAGGCAGGAGGAAAGGAAAGGAAAGGTGGAAAATGCAACTTGGGCATTCCCCCCGCCCCCCCTGTCATTCGAAGCAGAATATAGACTGAATACAGAAATAATCTTCATTTGCCGGGCTGCCCGTTCATCTATGGGTCACCTAGAAACTCCATCCTTTGTGTTTCTGGGAGGTTGCTGGATCCGGCATAAACTGCATAAAATTCAAGTTGATTGGGAACCCAAATATTTTGTTCCAAGATGTCCTAACAGGATCAGTTTATGTTAATTGTGTATCAAGTTTATGTTATTGTAGGGAATGACAATCACCACCAGGTGGCAACACTACAACTATTTGTTTCCTTTAAAAACACACAAATAACACCCCGCCCCCACCTGCTTTTCAGTTTAAAATGCTAAGAAGGCCACATCTTTTTTGTTTCAGCAATATATTCCACGCACTGGTATTATCCCTCAGGAAATATCCAGGACCTACGGAACATGGAATTCTACACGCAACAATATTATGGTTTTTAAAGTCGCTAGTCCATTCTGATGATTAAGCATTTGTAAAGGCAAAGGCAAAGGCAAAGGCAAAGGCAAAGGCAAAGGCAAAGGCAAAGGCAAAGGCAAAGGCAAAGCAACCCCTGACCATTAGGTCCAGTCGTGACTGACTCTGGGGTTGCGGCGCTCATCTCACTTTATTGGTCGAGGGAGCTGGCATACAGCTTCCGGGTCATGTGGCCAGCATGACTAAGCCGCTTCTGGCGAACCAGAGCAGCGCACGGAAATGCTGCTTACCTTCCCGCCGGAGTGGTACCTATTTATCTACTTGCACTTTGATGTGCTTTCGAACTGCTAGGTTGGCAGGAGCAGGGACCGAGCAACGGGAGCTCACCCTGTCGCGGGGATTTGAACCGCCGACCATCTGATCGGCAAGTCCTAGGCTCTGTGGTTTAACCCACAGCGCCACCCGCGTCAAAGCTGTTCTAACTTCCTGCTCAGTCTGAGAGGGTTATTGTAGGTGCTCTGGGGAATCCTAAATACATACTCTCTATGATTTTACACATGAAGGCAGGGGTGCTTTTGGGTACATCAAGTCTGCAATATCCCATCACAAAATGCTGCCTGAGCAATCTCAGCCATGCTTACTCCTCAGTGGTGACTTGTCTTCATTTGGTTTGCCAACATTGTCCTCTCCACATGTTTTGAACTACAGTTCCTATTAGCCCCAGGCAGCAAGGAGTTGTTCTCCAAAACCTCTGGAGGATGCCAGATCGATGAAGACTCCTTTAGTTAATTAATCAATTACTGGTTAATCAAGCTCTGGTTGGCCACTGTAAGAACAGGATGCTGGACCAGATGGAGCTTTGGTATATTCCAGGAGAATTATTATTCTTTTTTTTTTAAATGCATTTTATTTTTATTGATTTTCAATGAAGAACAATAAACACAAGCAGAACAAAACAAAACAAAACATGGATTCGTGGATGAGACAAAACAAAACCAAATTCATGGATTAGACCTCTCCACAGTGAAGCATGACACAGCATTGACTATACTGATTTGCTTATATATTCAATGAAGAAATGCTATGTACTTATCAATTTATCTTTCTCACATTACCCCCTTACCATCCTATTGGGTTGAGTCAATTGTTCTAACAATGCCATTTCCCATGTTCTAACAAACCATGCTTGCATAAGAAGATGCACCTGGCCACTGATTCCATTCTGGTGGCTGCAATCAAAAAACGTAACCAGAGTTCAAGATTGAATTTCAGGATTTAGATCAATTTCAAGTGCTAGGAGAGGCAGCGCTAGAGCAGGGCTCTTCTTATTTATTTATTATTTCTTTTATACTGTATATATACACATGCATTTACCACAAAGGCATTTCAGAGCAGTTGGCAAGTAAAATAGTTTCAAATCCACAAAACAATGATTAAAAACAAGGCAGTGAGTCACTACCAGTCAACAAAAAATACCAGTAGCGCCATCAGTTTCCACTACAGTCTTGGGCAAATAAAAAAATCCTTGCCTTCAGCTGTCATCTAAAATTTAGAAGAGCAAAGTGCTAGCCATATCACAAAGGAGAGGGTGTTCCAAAACTGGGGTGCTTCTATAACAAGAATGCTCTTACCTATGTTGCCGTATAACGGCCCTCAACCAAAGATGGTTAAAATCCCTAGCTGATCTTAACCAATGGACACAGTCTAGTCAGGAAAATATACTATTACAAGTGCCTTGCTCCCCTGTTGCATAGGGTTTATGTCCTTAAGTCCATCTTCTGGAGGAAATGGCTTTTATTATTGATCAGGTGATATGGTGGATGAGTGGAGAAAGAGGGAAGGGAAGAAAAGGTGATAAAACCCCCATAATGATTTGGGTACCCCTGGATTCTGCACTACTCCTCTGTGGAGAAAATGTGAACTTTTCCATAAACCCTCCTGGAATTATCTTCAACGATGCAAAGAAAATACAAGCTAATTATAAAAGGCACATTGTCTATTAATATGTTAATGAAGCGAGGCTGCTAATGGAGAGATCTGAATTTTAATACATTTTAAGAGCTTCATGATTATGTGTTTGTTAGTTGATATGATCATTACAAATTAGCTGTACATGGTTTTACCCTGACTAAAGTCTATATTAAGCCCTGTATTCTAAACAGGCTTTAATGAAGCAGGTGAGTGGGCCATCTGTGTTACAAAGATTGTCACTAAGAAATTTGCATTCAGAAGAAATGCCTGCCAGCTAACAAGCAAATAAAGCATCAGGCATGGCGGTTTATTGTTTACAAAACAACATTTTCATACATTGCCATATATCCTGATAATAACTCTGATATACATTTCTACAACAGTAGCTCTGTAAAAGTATTTTTTTTTTAATTTTAAAAGATCATAGTTAACTTTTATGGTTTCCCTACAACAACAGAGGGGACGCAGGTGGCGCTGTGGGTTAAAGCCTCAGTGCCTAGGACTTGCTGATCGAAAGGTCGGCGGTTCGAATCCCTGCGGCGGGGTGCGCTCCCGCTGCTCGGTCCCAGCGCCTGCCAACCTAGCAGTTCGAAAGCACCCCCGGGTGCAAGTAGATAAATAGGGACCGCTTACTAGCGGGAAGGTAAACGGCGTTCCATGTGCTGCGCTGGCTCGCCAGATGCAGCTTTGTCACGCTGGCCACGTGACCCGGAAGTGTCTGCGGACAGCGCTGGCTCCCGGCCTATAGAGTGAGATGAGCGCACAACCCTAGAGTCTGGCAAGACTGGCCCGTACGGGCAGGGGTACCTTTACCTTTACCTTTTTACAACAACAGAGAGTTTGAACACATAGTGGAAGCAATGTGATAACTAACAGCATAAAGAACCAAGCATTCAACTGTGATTTTTCAGCTTTACAGAAGCTAATCTGTAACTTTTGAAATTATGGGTTGTTCCTAAATTAGCCATGGGATGCGGGTGGCACTGTGGGTTAAACCACAGAGCCTAGGGCTTGCCGATCAGAAGGTTGGCGGTTCGAATCCCCGCGACAGGGTGAGCTCCTGTTGCTCAGTCCCTGCTCCTGCCAACCTAGCAGTTCGAAAGCACGTAAAAGTGCAAGTAGATAAATAGGTACCGCTCCAGCGGGAAGGTAAATGGCGTTTCCGTGCGCTGCTCTGGTTTGCTGGCCACATGACCCGGAAGCTGTACGCCGGCTCCCTCGGCCAATAAAGCGAGATGAGCGCTGCAATCCTAGAGTCGTCCACGACTGGACCTAATGGTCAGGGGTCCCTTTATCTAAATTAGCCAACATGTGAAGGTAGAAAGGACCTTGGAAAGGCACAGCGTGGGGATCAGAGTAGGTCACAGGTTCCCTGCTTTGTCTTAAAGGACTTTCTGATCTGAAAATAGAGACGATGTATGTGCTTCTGTAACCCAAGAAAATCGTTAATAAAAACTTAAAATAAGAAGAAGAAAAATGCACACCAGAGTGGCTTGTGAGATCCTGGGACACACATCTGCACTCATTTCAAAATTGCACACTATTACAAGTTCTGTCCCACTTTAACTCATGCTTGAGAGCAGCAGTAGCTATTTGACAAGTAAGAAAGAGCTTTGTCCTTTCATCTGTCTGCAAATCATCGCCAGCAAAGATCCTTGAGGAACACAACTTTGTTTAGTACTTCCATTGTGAAGACACCCAGTTTATGCTTACTATCCACTGCTTGTCCTAAAGTTTAATTGGTTGTTGATCCCATGACTGTTAAGTTCCGGAAATGCTGTGGGCTATTCCATCTTTTTAAAAAGTAGAATAATTGTCCCTATTAATTTCAGACTTGTCAGGAAACCAAGAGGAAGAGAGATGCATTTGTTCTGAAAGTTTGGTGGCATCATTCCTGACCCCTCCTTCTAGCACCAGTCTCTAGCACCCTGCCTTAGCTTCCACCTGTAAAATGGCAATAATAGCTACCTATATCTCCAGGGTGTTCTTGTGCATGTGCATCATGCATGGTTTAAGACTGTATGGGCTGCATCGTGAGACATTTGGGAGAAGCCTATCAGAAGGTTGACGGTTCGAATCCTCACAACGGGGTGAGCTCCCTTTGCTCTGTCCCAGCTCCTGCCAACCTAGCAGTTCAAAAGCATGCCAGCGCAAGTAGATAAATAGGCACCACTGTGGCGGGAATGTAAACAGCGTTTCTGTGCACTCTGGTTTCTGCCACAGTGTTCTGTTGCACCAGAATCGGTTTAGTCATGTTGGCCACATGACCCGGAAAGCTGTCTGTGGAGAAACAGCGGCTCCCTCGGCCTGAAAACAAGATGAGCGCCACAACCCCATAGTCACCTTTGACTGGACTTAACCGTCCAGAGGTCTTTTACCTTTTTATTTTTATATAAAACAAGTAGTAAGGGCCACCTATTGTGCATGTGTGCTAGGCTTAGTTTTAATTAGGAATGAGAGCCACAAGTACAGGCAAGTAAATTATTCCCCCTTTTACCTCTCTTTCCTCCCTCTTCCTGCCCCTTCTGATTGTCAGCTGTTAGATTCTACGGTTCTCGATAAAGAACCATGGGTAGCCACAATATTATCACCATCCATTACAATAATAGTACATTATATTATTATACAGCAACAATAAGCAAAATAATAACACACTCTTCTTTCTTATCATTGCAGCATGTTCCAAGGCTGAACCCTAACACCAAGAACATATTCTGGGTCTCAGGCTGAATCCAGTTTTTACTCATGGCTAAATATACTTTTTGAAAGCAACATCCTTTATATCACATGTGATACCCTGACGGAATCCAGGGTACCTAAGATTCCCAGGTGGTCTCTATTCTAGGCACTGGCCAGGCCTATATTTGCTGAGCTTTAATATCTTTGCTGCATCAGGTGCCTAACCTTGGATCATAAGCGGAATGGGAGTCACAGACCAGGTTATGACTTGAAAATGAACTAGCATATGAAGCATATTTGAACAGTACTCAAAATATTTATTTCTGCAGCTTGTTATTTTATGAGCAAAGCATTTATAATCCTTCTGCTGTTATTTGGGATCAAAAAATAACTTTCACCAGGCAGATTTGGGAAAGTAATTCTTTAAGTGAGACAACTGAGCCGATCCTTGGAGGGGGAAATGCTAATTGAACGATTCAGCTTAATTTAGGTCATACTGCCCTCTAGGGGATCAGTCATACATATCCATTTTTTGTTTCTAAAGAGTAGGAACTCTTCTTAACGCAGCTTTGATGTTCAGAAAAAGAACTTTGTTGTGTATTTCAATGGGCATCTTTACTACATTAAAGAATGGAGGTAACTACAACTCTCATAAAGAATTTAAATGTTTATTTAGTTCTTTGAAGAACTTGGCAAGCAGCACCAAACTGAAGCTTGTGGGAGATGCATCATCTTTTCGCGCTGTATCAGTACTGGACTTTCTGGATACGTTAAGGCAAATTGCTTCCTTTTAGCCTTTACTTTCAGCTGTAGAATGGGAATAATAATTGCCTGCTATGGTGATTGTATGCCGCAAACTGCCAAACCCTACTTCCTTAAGGGAGTTTACACAGGAGCAGGCCAGAACAGAATATTTAATTGGGTTAGACTATGGAATATATGGTTTTCCCAGTAGTGATGTATGGAAGTGAGAGCTGGACCATAAAGAAGGCTGATCGCCGAAGAATTGATGCTTTTGAATTATGGTGCTGGAGGAGACTCTTGAGAGTCCCATGGACTGCAAGAAGATCAAACCTCTCCATTCTTAAGGAAATCAGCCCTGAGTGCTCACTGGAAGGACAGATCCTGAAGCTGAGGCTCCAATAGTTTGGCCACCTCATGAGAAGAGAAGGCTCCCTCGAAAAGGACCCTGATGTTGGGAAAGATGGAGGGCACAAGGAGAAGGGGACGACAGGGGACGAGATGGCTGGATAGTGTTCTCGAAGCTACCAGCATGAGTTTGACCAAACTGCGGGAAGCAGTGGAAGACAGGAGTGCCTGGCGTGCTCTGGTCCATGGGGTCACGAAGAGTCGGACACGGCTAAACGACTAAACAACAACAACATAGAATATTCAATTATTATTCATTACATTCTTTTTTATTTGTTACTGCTAACAATAATAACCAAGAGACCAATTTAGAATCAAAACCAGTATTTAGTGGCTTAAGATTGATAGAAGCAAGAATGCAAAGAGCTAGCTTCCCATTTTTAGAAAGTCACATATGCGAAAGGATCTGTAAATGATAGACCTGTTAATGGAGATGGAAGACTAAAGGCAGGTCTGCAGGCTCTCTTTTTTTTATAGGCATCAAATGTATACTTTCTATTAGTCCAGCCCCCAATGCCACACAGCATTTGTGGTCAGTCTCTGCTATGTTTCTGTCCACAGGCATTGCACACTAGCTATAATTTTGGAGCCACTCAAGGCTCTGCAGTCTTCAGCACCAAGGACAAGTGTTATGAGAACACTTCTGTTGGAATAAAATGGAAATGCTATTTTTATTCCACACAATCCCAATGCTTAATGACACATGGTGCCTAAAAGATTGGCGAAAATACCTTTATTGGGGGGGGGGGAACCTAGGATAAAACATAAAATTCTAATTGATGTAAAAGACAAAGGAGGTTTCGCACTCCCAGATTTGGAATTGCTAGATTTGGAGCGTCATGATGTCAAACACGGCTGGCAAAGCAGGAATACGTAAAAGCTTTGCCAACCATGTTATTAGGGGGTAAGAACTTAATTAGGGTGTGAGGAAAAGCAAACATTTATTAGAAAACAAAACACCAAGGTAGTTATCCCCACTAGAAGTTGAGACAAGGAAAAATAATAATGAGAGTGATAACTGGGATACCTATTTGTTAGACTTTTCAGAAGAAGAACCAAAAATGAATATATATTTTTTGGAAGAGATTAAAAATATGTTTCTGACTGGCTAAACTATCATCAAATCAATTCAAAATTTAATGTAGGTAATAAATTGGGATTTGCAGAAAAACCAGTACAATTTAAAAACCAAATATTAAGATCTAGAGTTAAAAAAATTATCTAAAATGTATAGGATATTATTAGATTGAGAAACTAAAGAAGAATTTGTGAAATCATCTATGAGCAAGTGAGCACAAGATGTGGGTCATAATATTGATCCAAACCTGTGGGAACATTTGTGGAAAATAAATTTTAAAATCACAGTTATGCATTAAAAGAGAACTGTTTAAAAATGGAACTTGACGCCAAGTAAATTAGCTAAAACTAGAACTAAAAGTGACCTATGCTGGAAATGTAAAGAAACAATTGGCACATTTTATCATTTATGGTGGTCTATAATTCTGGGAGATGGTCTATAATGAACTTAAGAAAATGTTTAAAAGAATGTTTCCTAAAAACCCAGAAGCTTTCCTTCTGGGAATAATAACAACAGTATAGGCGTTCCTACACAGCTGGATTTGTTCATTCATACTGGGCAAAAGGGGGACGCAAGTGGCGCTGTGGGTAAAAGCCTCAGTGCCTAGGGCTTGCCGATCGAAAGGTCGACGGTTCGAATCCCCGTGGCGGGGTGCGCTCCCGTTGTTCAGTCCCAGCACCTGCCAACCTAGCAGTTCGAAAGCACTCCCTGGTGCAAGTAGATAAATAGGGACCGCTTAGTAGCGGGAAGGTAAATGGCGTTTCCGTGTGCGGCTCTGGCTTGCCAGAGCAGCGATGTCACGCTGGCCACGTGACCCGGAAGTGTCTGCGGACAGCGCTGGCCCCCGGCCTCTTGAGTGAGATGGGCACACAACCCTAGAGTCTGTCAAGACTGGCCCGTACGGGCAGGGGTACCTTTACCTTTACCTTTAATCCTAAAAAACCAAACTACTCAACGAATGTACATGACTATAGCTGCCTGAATTCTTGCAGCACAAAAGTGGAGAACAGATACAGTACCATCAAGAGAAGAATGGCACCTTAAAATATTAGAATATACAGAACTTTCCAGCATGACACATAGATTAAGAAATAAAGATGATAAGAATTTAAAAGAGGACTGGACATTATATATAGAATATATGGAAAAATATTATAACAAGAAAATAAATGTAATAGACCGAAAAAACAGAACTCAGCAGTAGATGTGACAAAGTGGGATAGTTGTAAGGTAATGAAAAGAATTTCGTAGAATAAGAAAATGGCGTCAAAAAGACAACAGATAGGAAACCAGAGAAAGAGTGGAAGGGGAGTTAAAATTAAGGTTCATAAGATCCAATTAAATTGGAGGAATAAGTTATGTTACTATTATTATTTACAGATATATGTCTTATACTTATGTTTCCTTTTCTCTTTCTTAATAACATGTGTTTGACTGTAACATACAATGCATTGATGACATGATAAAACAGAAAAGCAAATAAAGAGGGAGAGAGAGAACACTTCCGTTTTCTGGAGGGGGTTCCCTATGGGTTTGATTTAGCTCATTTTTAAAGGGCTATATGAACGATAGCACCATGTTTAGTACTATAAAACATGTTTGTGCTGGGGGCAACTGGTGGTCCATTGGGTGTGGCATTTTGTTTTTACAGTGGCAAACTTTTAATTCTTTAGCTCCAGGGAGACTAGCAACAGGTCTCCGGGCAGCTTCACTATTGATGAGAAGAGAAATTATCCACTCAAGGAAGAGAGTTAATCGCATTATATCATTTTGTTTCAAGAAAGAGAACCCTCTATGCATACTTAATTGATGCTGTTAGATCTGTAATTCTTAATTACAGTATCATATAGTGCCATTATAGAAGATCTGGATGCACGCAAAATGAAAAAGCAAATAAAGTAGCAAATAAGGAAACAGGCAAGTAACTTTGGGCACAAATGTCCAAAGTAGCTATATAGAGGCCATATATAAACAATGAGGTTGCATTTATCCTGATGCTTGTGCGGAGAAAGAAACTTCTGATTGAGTTTTTCATGCAAAAAAGGTTTTTATTGATGACAGTTGTTCATGTGTCCTACTTTACAGAGGAAAGCCCTCTGTTCGAAGGCAACCTCTATTTGAAGGGTAATGCATTTCTACGTTTGCATCTATACATATGAATCAACATATGTCAATCTTATGCAATGGCATATTTGTCCTCTTTGGCCTTTTTTGTGTGTGTTTGATGCATTTCCTCATTTCTGGTGATGTGTAAATGAGCACCCTAGATAACAGTGTACCAATAGATAGGTAATTCCTTACAGAACTGCAAAGCATTAGTCCAGTGAAGAAACCAAAATGCATAATATCAGATTCCTTTGATCTGCCCAGTTGATGTGATTCACAGAGTGGCTTGAATTAATGTTTACTGCAATCTATGCTTGGCAAGTACATTATACAGGCTCTTCTGCCCATTGCTGTCCCTGTTCTGTGCTGTGCAACTGGCAGAGATGACTGTTCTTTTTGTATCTGTACTGGCTCATGCTCCTATCCCAGTTCTGGGTAGTCTCAAAAGGCAAGCACATCCATGCATGTGCACACACACATTTTGAAAGGGGCTAACTCTTTACCCAATCAGAATTTTAAGAGGGAAGGCTATAATACTCCTCGGGTCCTGTACTTAATTCGTTCTGGAGGTCTGTTCTTAACCTGAAACTGTACTTAACCTGAAGCACCACTTTAGCTAATGGGGCCTCCTGCTGCTGCTGTGCCGCCACTGCATGATTTCTGTTCTCATCCTGAAGCAAAGTTCTTAACCCAAGGTACTATTTCTGGGTTAGCGGAGTCTGTAACCTGAAGCGTATGTAACCTGAAGTGTATGTAACCTGAGGTACCACTGTATGTATCCTTTTATGCAAATAGAGCCACTCATTCTTGAACTGCGAGGAAGCTTTAGAAATAAATATATGTGGGAATGTTCAGGGAGGCAGGAGAGGATACCGTATATTGTTTAATAAATATCCTTCTCAACTTGCGTTAGCAAGTTCTATAATTTAGTGGAGTAACACACCCCTTTTAAACTTGTTGCCAGGCGTGTTTAAGCCTCTAAAATAAGTTTGCTGGTAATTCCCCTTTATTCCCTCCTAAAAAGAATAGACACTAGACAGTCTTGTATAAAAGGTATAAAATAGTTTACTCACACATTCTGTTCACAGATGGATCCCAGAAGGCAGACTTAAGTTATAAAATATATACACTTGGAATCTATCACATAAGGAGATTGTTCCTTTGTGCTCTCTTGGCTGGAGGCCAAGAGAGCATCTCAGGCTAAGTAGCCGATGCTTCTACAATGAAAGCAAGATGAAGAAGAGAGAGAGATGGTAGCCAGCCTTGTGCTTATGTTACCTGCACAGGTAAGGTCATGTCCACCTCTAGTCACATGTGGAGGAAGTT